TAGAGTGTACTGTTTCGCCCATGGGAGTTGATCTCGATGCGTTGCCATTCCTGAGAACTCAGGTGTTATTACTCTGTACCCTGTAAATTCATAGCTATATCCCACCCTTCAAACTGAAACACAGCCATGCAAACACAATTGCTTCACGGTAGAAACACAAATGGGACAGAGGTGCCAAAGCAAACGACTTTTGTACAAAATTTTCCTCTGGTAAATTAGTTGTTGCCTACGGCTTTACACGCGTAGTGTCATATTTCCTCTACACATAGAAATTTTCAAAAATTTCTTCATATGGGTTGCCTAATTTACAAAATAAACTATTTACCTACGCGTTGGAATCGATCTGATAGGATATCAATATATTCTAATAATAGGACTATTAAACCCCATTAGTAACAAACCCATTCTCTTAAGGACTAAAATGTTATGTCTATGTAACCTGTAATTTCATAATCAGATCCCACCCATGAAACCGAAACATAGCTGTGCAAACACAACTGCTTTCTGACAGAAACTAATTTTTCGCATTCGAAATTCGAACGAAACTCTTCTGCTTGTGTACCTCGATAGAGTTTCGTATGACTCCCTATTTTTGTTTTTAAAAATATCAATTTAATTCACATGAAAATGTTTGCTGGAAGAAATCTCTTATTAGAGATAAGCTCGCCTTTGTACATTACGTTTAAAATTATTTGTTCTTAACATTATGTTTGTGTACAATAAAGAATAAACAAAAATTACCTTTTGGTATATTACAGTCTGATTATCAAATCAGAAACAGTATCAATCTTCTGGTGTTGATATATCGCAGTTTTTCTATTAGTAAATCCTATAAAGTATATTATTCATACTTACAGAAATGACTCGCGTAATAGCGTGATCTATACTAATTTTGAAGACGCCTGTTCCCTTCAGATATATGCTAGCGTGCATTACATGATTCATTAAGCAATCCTTCGACGAGTCAGTTGTTGACTCAAATAAAACAAATACACTCACGGCCGTAATCTTAAATGGGATATACTGTTGAACTTGACTTCGTTAAAGGAGTTTGTTTTATAATTATTTTATACTAGTCTTTATCTGCGACTTCGTCTGCGTTACAGGGGTATATTTATGAGCGAGATAGAATATAGTATACTAAATGTTTATAGATTGACTAAGCCGTTAAGGCGATATAAGGTAACAAACAAACAAACTCACTTTCACATTTATAATGTTAATAAGGATCAATGAATTTTATATAATTATAAGCAATGGATATAGCATTCCATCAGGTGGGCTGTCAGCTTATTTGCCATTCTAAGTTGCATATAAAAAAAATCTTCCACAGACTGCCACAGGAACAGTCCTGAGCCACCAGCATCCACTGACTCCCTGCAATTCATTTTAGGTCGTTACTCTATCTAGTGGAGGTCGTCTTACACTACATTTGGCAGTACGGAGTCTCCACTCAAGAACCTTTTTTCCTCATCAGTTACCGATTCTTCGAACTATATGACCTGTCCATTGCACAAAGCTTTTTGTTCATATTTTTTTTTAGAAATTGTTCAGCTTCATTGGCTTAAAAAAAATGCCAATAAATTTTATTTCAGTCTGTAGATTTTAATGTTTAATTACTAAATTTCAATACCAAAAAAAAATCTCATATATGTTTACTGCACTTTGAGTTTTATGTTTTCATTAATTTGAACTAAAATCGTACAATTCCCCGAGGGTGTCATTATTCAATATTTACCCTCCATTTCCAACTTTCAATAACTTATCGATTCGTTGAAATACGAAACATTTTTTCGCCCGCGCCAGCCAATTGGTTGGAAAATGTATATTTCACTGGGGAGGTATCCAATATCGAGTCGCTATATATTTATATTACTGGATTTATTACTGAGAATTTTTTTTTAGAAATGTATTTATATCCATCGTCGACCAATGGTTAGATTACATAGTTAACTCTTTGGTGTAAGCAAATAAAGTCCTGATATTTATCATAATATTATCACATGATAATTAACTCATTTTTAATTTATTTTTTATTATAATTGTTCGAAATAGACGTAATAAAAATCGATTATGTAAGCCAAAAACATTTTATTGCAAAAAAAAACATTGTGTTATTAAAAAAGAAATAGTATGAAGAAAATAGGTAAGTAAATTAATTATTTATATTTAGTATAATTCTAATTTGATAATCGAATTATAAAATTAGTAATTATTCGAATAACAAAATCCTTCGGATTCGCGCACTACTAGCTTCGATTCTATTGTATGTCCAACATAACTTATTAATTTAGATCCATACATGTCAAGACGGAGAATCGAGTGTTAAAAAATCTGAGAACAAGGAATCGAAATCTTTTAAAAAAAAATAGCTAACAGTTACTTTTGATGGATATGTATATTTTTTATAAACAAAACAAGAACGCCATTTTTTTTGTGTTGCAAGTAATTAAAATAAAAATTCCCCAGATCTTGTGGATTTTTTAGATATGTATTGAGCACTATTTTCTGTTATCTGATATAAATAAATGTACCTATATAGATATTTCATAACAAATAAATAATATGTATTAATTCAAATAGCTGGTCAGTTTCAACAATTAAAACAACGAATAATTTAAAATATATAAAGACCAGCATTTTTTTAAATACACTTATCTATTATTTTCTTTTAAATATGAATGTGAAGATTTTGTATTATTTTTATATTATTTTTGATAATAACCACATATTCTGGTAAATCCTTTTCAAGCACATAAGGAAAAAAATTGGCTTACTTTTCGCAAAGCGTTTACACAGTGAAACGCCATCTAGAGATATGTGATCTAAGTTTACTAATGTTAAACTTGCCTAATGTTTATTTGATTTGTTCACAGGTAAGCAACAACAGTGCCTAGCTGTAAATGTGTCATAACAACTGATAATGTGAGTGTTTGCTTTCATAATTTGCACTTATGTACACTTCGGCTATCACAAATGCCCTCGAATGTTGTCACGCAATGTACTCCAGGGATTTACCCGTATAAAGATTTACATAATGGTAGATGTAGAACGATGTGAGACACTTTGTATTGATTTACAGAAACGTTATTAGATGTCTTCACGAATGTTATTTTTTTTTATAAAATATAAATAAATAAATATTTCAATAAGGTAACCAGGAGCCACACAATTTTTATACAATATTCATTCCTTCCAAAAGAAAGAGGTTTTTTTTTGGAGTGAAATGGTACCCTCAGTGGAGTAAGAAAACATGAGATTGAAGTCAGATTGAAAACATGAGATTAAAGTAATTAGGAAATGAACTACGATGGTTTCCAGTGGGAGGTCGTGTGGACGTCAACCTAATATGGACCTGATGTATTGCTGGTAATGGGGACTAATCTCCCCATTACTTATAAGGTTTTTCTTTTCTTACAGTCTACAGGGTCTCCTCTCGTTGGTTCCATTTTAATTTAATGATCAATGATATTATCGTTTCTCTCTGCGGAGTAAAAAAACTACTGGGTGCGGAGCAAAATCGACTTATAAACATCCGATTTTGTGTTTTAAATTTAAACATATACATTGTCTATATTCACGATTGAAGACGATTTTTTTGTAGAGCAAAATGTACTTTTATGCCACAAAGATGGTAAATAAGCAGCCTGTCTAAAGACGACTGCAACACCAGGGGTGCTTTGCGCGCTTAGCGAACCCTAAATTAACTTCCAAACACCTTGGCTGAAGAACCCCATATTGCAGTATCAAGGAAAAACCTAACTTCCAAACTAAACTTAGGTATGCTTTGCTTTTGGACATAAGTTGACTGTAGAGAGATCAATTAATGCGATAAACCCATAACTGTAATTTTTTTTATACAACTTAGAATGGCAAACAAGCTGACGGCCCACCTGATGGAAAGTGGTAACCGTCGCCTATAGACATGAGCAGTACCATGGACATAACAAAATTAAATTATGAATCATCAATATTCGTATACGAGTACGATACAATTTACATACATGTAAATTATACACAATAAAGGTTTAAATACAACAAATTAATTGCAAATCAAATAAATAGGCCAATTACTAGTGTTAATAATAAGTAGTTATTAACATTTTCATGTATTTATTATGATAAATACGAACGTTTTAAATTAACTACTGAATAAGCATACCGTTGAGTTTAATTTATTCCAATTAATAAGATATTATGTTGGCTGTTTCATATTTCTATGTACGCTATATTAAAGATTATAAATTTAATTTTCTTTGATTAGATTAAACCAATTTATAATGTTATTGGTATATATTAAATTATAATTTATTAATTATTCTCTACGTAAATATTAACGCGGTTATATTTTTATAATTGCAATAATATAAAATGTGTGCTTGTTTATATTAAAAATAATAATAATAATACACATATATATGTATTTATGAGGTGCAGTAAAATATCATGTCATAGTTTAAAAAAGATCTCTCCCGTCCTATATATTCATTAAAGGACATTTCACATAATTTACTAAAGACAAAATTTTTGATGATCCACTTGATGGAAAATGGTAACCATCATGATATATATAATGTGTTTTTTACACAGAATATTCTCTATATCATTTTAAGTCCATGTGATATGATCACTCTAAAAAACTCTAAAAATAATGTGTTATGCTTCAATAATTTTAATAAAGAATTTTCAAGTTTTCTGATCATTTATTTAGAACCTATCCTATCAATATAATTATCTTGCTTGGAGAGAAAATTCTCAACAAATGCATAGAAATCTCCGACTATCTGTAAAATGTGATATACGTACAAATAATGTTCTTTGTTCTCGATCTTTCCCAAAAAGAGAACTATTTAAAAAATAACCTTAGTAGTTTCTGACTCCTTATTATTCCTACATAATGTAGTTTTATGATAGTTATACCGTATATTTCCCGAACAAATTAATTAAAAAAAAAGATTTAAGTTAAAATAAGTAAACGAAACCCAAGTCTAAATACGTACCCGCTATCAACGCGCGCGCTCCACAATTTCTCGCCATATCAATGTACTAGGTCGCCGTACCTAGCAACGTTCAAGCGTAAATTATGTATAAATAGTACATGATATGTCGCAACTAGGCGTGGCAAGGCCGACCGCAGACCGCTCCCCATGCATGCGATGCATTATGCAAGTCACACAGCCGATATGACACGTGGGCGATGTGATATCTGGCACCAATTCCTCGTAGCGCTTACCGAAGTCGATAACTTCCGTTGCACAGTATTGGCTTGTTGCTATGAGGTATTGGGTTTGATTTCTGGTAGGCCCAAACGGTACACGAACTTGTCTAGATCGGGTCTTCTCTCCCAGACAAGTGACAATCGATTGAATCTATATTTTATGCGAGTCCTTGGAAGGAATGATCCATAAGACGTCACTACTTCTTTCTATCTAATGGTGTCACTAACAATAACGATTCCGTCAATAGAATCGCTTGCCATTTGTCTAGAACATCTGGGGTTCTATTTGATTTATATTATATAACCATGTCTCTCGCTTTTCGCTGTTTCTTATACAGCAAGACCAAGAAGCATGCTGACCTAATTCAGTAGCTTGATATGAAAAGAACGCCGTGTGGTCCCGGAATAGAATAGGCCACCCCTTTCTTTCCCGTGGGTGTCGTAAGAGACGACTAAGAAAGCTTAATGATCGGGGGGTACACAGTAGCGTTCCTCTTAAAACATCACCAAGGCTTAATTATGAGTGCCAACCTACCTGCCAAGCGTGGCAATTACTGGGAAATCTCTCCAATAGGGGAATGTCTTTATTCTGCAGTGGGCAATTTACGGCTGATATAGTATGTTGTGGTATAAGAAAATAAATACGGTGTTAGGAACTTCTTGATAACAATAAATCTGGAAGTGGATGGATGCGTAAAAAAAAGTGGATAATTCGTTACTATGCCATGTCATGCCTTTTTTTTTTTCCGTGTGTAAAATCTTCGGAAAGACCGTCCCATCTGCCGAAGGGAGGGCAGCTGGGGTGTGTGGGATTCGTACCCACTAAAAACCACACGACGTACCTCGAGGCGCTTATGTTGGATCCCGGGTTCCCGTTTGTACGACTACCGAGTATGCCATGTCATGCCTAGGATCATAAGAAGGAATAAAACACTATTAAACACTGAAGCAAGAGAAGACAATGTAACCTTCATGAAAAGAGTAATAACTTTTTTGGAATGCCAACAGCACATCTGTATTTCTTCCTGTGATTCTATCTCTATTTCACCATCCAGTGAGCCCTATGCTGCTTAACCCAGTGTGTTATAAAAAAAAAGACAATCTCCTAATAAAATTACTGGTAAATATTAATAAAAATTCCTATAAACTAAGTAATTGTAAACTAATATCGTTTTATTATGACAAGAAACACGTGCCCAGTAGTGGGGCGTTGAGGAGTTGCTAATGATAACAGTGATAGTATAGTGAATACTAATTATGACATATTGCCACTGGTACCTTGTTCCCGCCCACACAATCACGTTTATAGACCAGAAATTGCTTCTCCATTCATTGAAGTTAATTAATTGTTGTAAGGAATTAATTGCTGTAAGAAAATATGGTCGGTGTAGCTAAATTGCATCCGGATAATCGAGCAGAGATGGATGTGGAGACTGATTGTTTTTTTTTTTTTTTTATTTTATATACATATAAAAGACTTTCATAATATTAAAAAAATATCGTTGCTTAAGAAGGGATTTTTGCAAGATTGTAGTTAAAGAATCGAAGAGCCGAATATATTTTATTATAATTCAATGTTTATATATATACAACTAGTAAAGATATTGACAGATTTCTTATGCCATGGATAAATTCATTAAAACATATTTTTTTCAAGTGCCATTCAAGATCCATGGATATTTTGTAGGTGTTTATTGTAGTAACGTACGTAAAACCAATGCATTTTTGTAATAAATAAATAAAAATGTAAATTTATTATTTTTAATCATGGAAAAATATCACATCAGTGAAATAGTTTTAATGTACATTGACAAAATGAGGGTCAACAATCAATCTATTCAATTTGAATCACCGATTTTCTACATTGTGTCTACAAATATATATATATATATATATATATATATATATATATATATATATATATATATATATATATATATATATATATTGTTATTTCGTTATCGTTGTAATTACGTTTCAGTAAAGCGCCACGCATTTTAAATTATTCTACCGAAAGGGTGCTCTCAGTTGGTGAATTTTTAAATATCTTTAAGGGTCATTAGCCTTACATAAGCACCAGTTTCTGTGTTACAAACTACCGGCATATTGTATAAGATCTTAACTATTTGAAGCAAGAAAAAAATAATTAAAACCTGCCTCTTTTCTCGTACATTGCTTAATGTTTTTTTATTGTAACAATTTCTTGCAATTTATTTTTTGTATTTTTTACTAAGTTTACTTCTGTAATCTTTTAGAGAGAACAATAAGGTGTATGTAGGTTTGTACAAAAGTCGATTGCTTGGGTACCTCTGTCCCATTCGTGTTTCTACCGTGAAGCAGATGTGTTTGCATGGCTGTATTTCGGTTTGAAGGGTGAGATATGGCGTGAATTTACTGGGTACAGAGGAATAACACCTGAGAACACATGATTTGCCATTCCTGAGGACTAAGGTGTTATTCCTCCGTACCTAGTAAATTCACGCTATATTAACCCATTCTTTAGTACAAAGTATTATTTGCAATATGTTTTGATCTTTCCAAATTACAAACACCATATTTTCAATCTTGTTACCATATTGTTAGTATAGCATCTGCGAGTATAAATTAACACTATTACACTTATTGTATGCTAATCTGGTGAGTAATCGGTGTTCCCTGACATAACAAGATGTTATTTGTGTGCAGACTGATTGAGGTTGAACTATGACTTAATCATATGAAGACATTTGACTGGCATTCTTTTACTTTTTTTTTTAGAGAAGACAGAATAAAAGGTTGTCTGTAAGAGATTGCTTTTAGCGATAAGACAGCCTTTTGTATTTTTTTTTACATAACTTAGAATGGCAAACAAGCTGACGGCCCACCTAATAGAAAATGGTAACCGTCGCCTATAGACATGAGCAGTACCATGGACATAACAGAGTATACTGTTTCGCCCATGATACCTCCCATGCGTTGCCATTCCTGAGGACTCAGGTGTTATTGCTCTGTACCCAGTAAATTCACGCCATATCCCACCCTTCAAACCGAAACACAGCCATGCAAACACAGCTGCTTCACGGTTGAAACACGAATGGGACAGAGGTATCCAAGCAATCGACTTTTGTACAAAGTCTCTCTCTGGTATTTGCACATTCTGACTAAATACTCCTTGTATACATCTCTATTGGGCGCAATAAAGAGTTTATTATTATTATTATTAAAAAGTTTTCTTCCTACAGGCGAGGCCTATGTTCAGCAGTCGAAAATAAGACCGCTACGATCATCAATAAAATTAAAATTACGATGTTTGATATTCCGAGATTGTAAAATTACAAAATTACTATTCCCTTTTCTACGCTAATGTCCAAACTTGTGGAGATTCGTCTCCCTGATATGTCATTGAACACTCAGTTTCTTGCTAACCCCAATTACATAAATAAAGATTGTGTTTCACAAAAAGCCAACTTCAGTTGTGACAAATCAGTTATTTTGAAAACTAAACTACTAAACCAATTTGAGTAAAGTTTCTGTGGAACCAGTCTATAAATATGTCCTTTCAGATAAGAAAAATTATATGCCAAATCCGTTTAGAACTGACGAAGTTATGAGCTAATTAACTATGAGGTCTTTAACGCTACATTATTCTGCATCATTCTCAGAAAATCTTAATATTTCAATAAGATAGAGAGAGAAAGAGATATATATTTCATTCGTTTTACCCTCCTCAATATATATATTATTAATGTAATATATATTTTTTGCATTATTTGTTTATAAAATATGCTGGTTCTTGTTGTTATATATTATTATTTATTAATAATATTAATTGTATCTACGTAAAACTGCCGTCTGTTGATGTATTATATATATAGGCGGTAGTCACTTACCATCAGGTGAGCCGCATGCTCGTTTACTCCCTGTGTTGTAAATATATATATATATATATATATATATATATATATATATATATATATATATATATATATATATATATATATATATTGTTATAATTCATTTGTTTTTCAATTTTCTTTTAAATTATAAAAAACTACATCTATTAGGTCAAAAGGTTCATTCTGAACATTATTCTTTTACTGCTATAATAAAGAGTAAATAAATAATACATTTCGTAAGCTGGTAACATTGACATTAGAAACATAACAAACGTTATTTACATAGAATTGTTTTTATTACGAACCTCATCAGGAAACGAGGTAACATTCAGCTGCTTACACGGCCAACAATAAATTTGACATTTTCAACGTTTCCCTCTTCAATCAAATATGATTAAGAAGTTCGTAACTTTCCGTAACTTATTTTGTTGTTTAACAACTCGAGTGTACCTATAAACTTTTCAGTGGACCCCTGTCTGTAGGGTTATATTAATGGCGGTGTATCTTGATATGAGTAATATATTAAATGTCTAAATTAATATAAGATTAAAATTTAATTCTGCAGGATCTGCAGAATTAAAATTGCGGTTATTGCCCAATAAAAGGCAAATTGCTTTAATAGGATGTTTTTTTTTATGGGTGATAAAAGTATGGTAACCCCGCCTGCGCTATCGGTATACACTGGCGGGGCACCAGTGAGAGGTGATAGGTGGGAATGAAAAAGCAGGTCAGTTAGCCCATCGTGACGAATTAAACGATAAATTAGTCACGATAGTTTCCAGGAGAAACCGCGTGGAGGTCGACCTGATAGAGTATATTGATACTAATGAGAACTAACCTTCCCATGACTATTAATCCCTTCCCTCCGCTTTAATAGAATGAAAATATCTCATTTTCATTCTATTAAAGCGGAGGTAACCTCGTTTGCGCTAAGAATATGTACTGGCAGAAAGCCAGTGTTGGATAAAATCAGAATTAAGTCAGATCAGGTAAATTATGCTGAGGAATTTATCAGGAATTAATCAAAAAGGTTTGAAAAGCACTTTTCGAAGTGTATTGCTAGAAATAAAACTGTTGTTTAAGAGGTACAATAGAATAGTAACCCCATCTGCACTATCGGTATACGCTGGCGGGGTTGGTACACCGGGTGGTTGGTGAGAGATGATTAATAATGATGAATCAATGGGGCTGTTAAATACCATTACGGACAATCCTTTTTCCTCCAATTCGGCAAGTGAATATGCCAGTAGACTAGCCATATAACTAATAACTAGTAAAAGGGCACCAGAGGGAGACTTTGTACAAAAGTCGATTGCTTGGGTACCTCTGTCCCACGTCTGTCTGTCGTGTTTCTACCGTGAAGCAGCTGTGTTTGCATGGCTGTGTTTTGGTTTGAAGGGTGGGATATGGCGTAAATATACTGGGTACAGAGGAATAACACCTGAGTCCTCAGGAATAGCAACGCATGGGGGTATCATGGGCGAAACAGTATACTCTGTTATGTCCATGGTACTGCTCATGTCTATAGGCGACTGTTACCACTTTCCATCATGTGGACCGCCAGCTTGTTTGCCATTTTAAGTTGTATAAAAAAAAAAGTTATTAGCGGTCCAGCCAAAAAATGTCTCTCTAGACAAAGTACAAACGAATCTA